CCGAAGGGCCTGTACTGCGCTGTAATGTTCTATGTTCTATGTTCTATATTCTAGTTACTGGTAAACTTTCGGTTTCTATTAGTAAACCACTGTTCCCTGCGAAAAGGCCAAACTTAAAGCGTTTTGCAAAAGAAGAAAATGCGAGGGGAGGAAAAGCTTTTCCACACAGTGGATTGTAGTTGGGGTATGGAATGCACAGCCTGAAGTGTAGTGGAGGCTGGTTCCAGTGAGCCATCTGAGAGTGCATTAATTAAATCGGAACAATGTGCAGGGTTACCAGGGAAGTAGATGGTGGTTGGCACTAAATCAGAATGTACAGACAGCGGGCGCAGACACAATGGGTTCCGCACCATAACATTCTTTGAAATTTTACTGCGTGTATGGCCAGCTTTTCCTCAAAGAGTGACACTTACATCTTTCTCGCAGTAGCACACAAGTGGTCCTTGAAGTGGAACGCGGCCAGCACAGTTTATTCCAGGTTGCTGTGCAACTATGAACTTCCACATTGGGCATCATTCCCAAAACTCATTAGAACAACAGTCCCAGCAACATGAATTATATAAAATTGATAGCACGGAAGCGGGCTGGGTTGGCACGGGTGGCTCAGCGGTTAGTGCTGTTGCCTCACAACCTCAGGCACCTGGGTTCAAACCCACGCTCAGGTGACTGTCTGTGTGGGTTTCCTCCGGGTGCTCCAGCTTCCTCCCACAGTCCAAAGGTGTGCAGGTTAGGTGGATTGGCCATACTAAATGTGGTATTACAGGGATTGGGTAGAGGGGGTGGGATGCACTTCAGAGGGTCAGTATGGGCCAAATGGCCTCCTCCTGCACTGTAGGGATTCTATGTTCCACTCAAGCCTTCTCTGACCATTCTTCATCATCCCATTCTATCGGAGTATCCACCTATTCCTTTCTCACTTATGTACCTCTGTAGCTTCCCCTGAAATGTTATGTCCAGTCCCAGGGTGATGTTTCTCATCGTGTTACCGTTCCTGATGGGATACCCCAAACTGTTAGGATCCTATTTGAAAGGGGATGAACTGGTTTCCCCCATCTTTATTTATTTGACCCGCACCCCCACCACACCCCCCACTGCTGACTGGATCACAAAAAGGTAAATTTTTAAAAAGAAAACGCATTACTTCGGTTGCAGATACCTTTCTCTCTCCCAGACCCAAAATAAATTATTTTTAAGAGAAACCAATTTAATCCAGCTTAGTTGAATCAACAAAAGGATTGAGTTCGTTGATACTGGCACAACTCACGTAAATACAGATTAGAAAAGAAACCATGGTGACTCTAAAAGCAGCAGATTGTTGAACATTGCAGTGGAGGTTACTAATAGTACTGGTGTTCGTAGTTAAAACTTCCTTTTTTATTCATTGGATAAGGGCTTTGTTGGCTATGCAGCATTTATTGCCCATCCCTAATTGCCTAGAGGGCAGTTAAGAGTCAACCACATTGTTGTAGGTCTGGAGTCACATGTAGGCCAGATCAGGTAAGGATGGCAGTTTCCTTCCCTAAAGGACATTAGTGAACTAGATGGGTTTTTCCCAACAATTGACAATGGATTCACAGTCATCATTAGACTCTTAATTCCAGATATTTATTGAATTCAAATTCCACCATCTGCCAGTCCCCAGAGCATTATCTGGGTCTCTGGATTAACAGTCCAGTGATAATACCACTAGACCACAGTGATAATACCACTCTACCAATATGAGAGAGCCAGCCATGGATGTCTAAGGAAATAACGGAAAGTATCAGATTGAAAAAAAAACACATACAAAAAAGCAAAGAATAGTGGGAAACTAGTAGACTGGGAAATCTTTAAAAGCCAACAGAAAGCCACAAAAAAAGTTATAAAGAAAAGATAGATTATGAGAGTAAACTAGCTCAGAATATAAAAACAGGCAGCAGAAGTTTCTATAAACATGTAAATCATAAAAGAGTGGCGAAGGTAAACATTGGTCCTTTAGAGGATGAGAAGGCCAATTTAATAACTGGGAATGAGGAAATAGCTGAGACATTAAACAGTTATTTCGTGTCGGTCTTCACAGCGGAAGACACAAATAACATGTCAAAAACTAATGGCAAGAAGGTTATAGCAGGTGAAGACCTAGAAACTATCATTATCACTAAGGAGGCAGTGCTGGGCAAGCTAATGGGGCTAAAGGTAGACAAGTCTCCTGGCCCTGATGAAATGCATCCCAGGGTACTAAAAGAGGTGATGGGGGAACTAGCAAATGCACTAGTAATTATTTACCAAAATTCACTGGACTCTGGGGTGGTTCCCGCAGATTGGAAAACAGCCAATGTGACGCCACTGTTTAAAAAAAAGGAAGTAGACAAAAAGCAGGTAACTATAGGCCAGTTAGCTTAACTTCAGTAGTGGGGAAAATGCTTTGGAGTTGGGGACTAAGTGTGGTGTGTCAAAATTTGCAGATGACACTAAGATGAGTGGTAGAGCAAAGTGTGCAGAAGACAAAGTCTGCAGAGGGATATAGATAGTCTAAGTGAGTGGGCAAAGGTCTGGCAGATGGAGTACAATGTTGATAAGTGTGAGGTCATCCATTTTGGTAAATAACAGCAAAATGGACTATGTTTTAAATGGTAAAAAATTGCAGCACGCTGCTGTGCAAAGGGACTTGGGTGTCCTTGTGCATGAATTGCTGAAGGTGGGATTGCAGGTGCAGCAGGTAATTAAAAAGGCAAATGGAATTTTGTCTGCCATTGCTCGAGGGATGGAGTTTAAAAACAGGGAGGCGATGCTGCAGCTGTATAGGGTCCTGGTGAGGCCACACCTGGAGTACTGTGTGCAGTTTTGGTCTCCTTACTTGAGAAGAGAGATACTAGCACTGGAGGGGGTGCAGAGGAGATTCACTCGGTTGATTCCAGAGTTGAAAGGGTTGGATTATGAGGACAGACTCAGTAGGCTGGGATTATACTCATTGGAATTCAGAAGAATGAGGGGAGATCTTATAGAAATATATAAGATTATGAAGGGAATAGATAAGGTGGAGGCAGGGAGGTTGTTTCCGCTAGCAGGTGAAAGTAGGACTAGAGGGCGTCGCCTCAAAATATAGGGAAGCAGATGTAGGACTGAGGTCAGGAGGAACTTCTTCACCCAAAGGGTTGTGAATCTGTGGAATTCCCTGCCCAGTGAAGCGGTTGAAGCTACCTCGCTGAATGTTTTTAAGGCAAGGCTAGGTAAATTTTTGAACAGTAAAGGAATTAAGGGTTATGGTGAGCGGGCGGGTAAGTGGAGCTGAGTCTCAAAAAGATCAGCCATGATCTTATTAAATGGCGGGGCAGGCTCGAGGGGCCAGATGGCCTACTCCTGCTCCTAGTTCTTATGTTCTCTCCCTGTCGTTTCACAATCCTTACTTTTGTAGCTTGGCGTATATTTTGTCATTATGATTCCTTTCGACTGTAACTGACTTTCAGCATTCAGGGTAAGACAGACAGTCCTTTAGTTAGCAAACAGAAGTTGCTGGAAAAGCCCAGCAGGTCTGTCAGCAACTGCGAAGAGAAAATCAGAGTTAACGTTTCGGGTCTGGTGACCCTTCCTCAGAAGTTCTCTTGACATTGTTTCTCTCTCCACAGATGCTGCCAGACCTGCGGAATTTCTCCAGTGTGTTCTGTGTTTGTTTCACGATATTGTCAATTAAAACTTTAAATAACAAATTGACAGGTGTAAGGACGATAGGGTGAAAGTTCCACCAAATGAACAAGGCCCTTCAACTGAAAGAATGGGCTGCACCCGTAAACCTTCACTTGATAAAGATGGTGGAAACAGATTGCATGACTGAATTTAAAAGGGAGTTGGATAGGTTCTTGAAGTTTTGGAACTTATCAGCTACAGGCAACAAGTGAGGGGGCAGGCTAAACATGATGGTCTGTCCTTTAAAGAGTTGACAGGCTAAGTAACCTTCTTCTCTACAATACCTTACAGTGACTCCATAATTACTCATGTGGTGCATGTTTTCAAGACATCTGACATAGAAACACAGAAACCGTGGAAAACAGGAGCAGGAGTAGGCCATTCAGCCCTTTGAGCATGCTCCACCATTCGATACGAACATGGCTACTCATCCAACTCAGACCCCTGTCCCCACTTTGACCCCATACCCTTAGCTCCCTTTATCCCTCAGAAATATATCTAACTCTTTCTTGAAAACATTCAATGTTTTGCCCTCAACTGCTTTCTTCTGACAGAGAATTCCACAGGCTCACCACTCTCTGGGTGAAGTAACTTCTCCCCATCTCAACCCAAAATGGCCTACCTCACATCCTTAGACTGTGACCCCTGGTTCTGGGCTCCCCAGTTATTGGGGACATCCTGTCAGTGTTTATCCTGTCCATTCCTGTTAGAATTTTATAGGTTTCTATGAGATTCCCCCCTTCATTCTTCTAAACTCCAGTGAATATAGTCCTAACTGATCCAATCTCTCTTCATACATCAGTCCTGCCCATGCATTGTGGTAAACCTTTGTGGCATTCCCTGTGCAGACAGAACATTCTTCCTCAGAGAAAGGGACCAAAACTGCACACAATACTCCAGGTGTGGTCTTATCAAGGCACTGTGCAATTTCAGCAAGACATCCCTGCTCCTGTATTCCAATCCTCTCCTTGTGTAGACCATCATACCATTTTCTTTCTTCAGAGCCTGCTGCACCTGTATGTTTCGTCCTTTACTTGCCCTTCCACACTTTGGAAAATGTGCCTCCTTATTGCATTGCCTTGGTTTACCATGAAGTCATGCTCCAGGTTTATCATCTCTGTGTTGCCTATTCCCACATATTCCTGCACTCTTTGCAGTCTTCCATTGAGGTAAAGAAGTCCAAGTTTCTCAAACCCACAATCAGAGTTCAGACTGGTGGAGCACAAATCCTTTTCCATCTGTGCCAACACCTCTTAACCAGCCTGAATCACTGATTATTTTGTGATACCCAGCCCAAATCCCAGATGAATAAGGTCTTTACCTGTTGGTCAAAGAGTGCCCAGAACATTGGGAGTGGAAGGTAGAGGAACAGGACTCGAGTGACCATCTTAATTTCTTCAATCAGATGTTTCTGTAAAAAAATGGACATTTAAAATTGAGTTTATCCACACTTATTAGTAAATGGAATTATTTCAAAAAGATCTCCTATATTCAAACAATTCAACAAAAAAAAAGTGTGACATTTACTGGATACTTTTCCCTTGCCCAGTCAAGCCAATGTTCCCGCCTCGGATAATTTTTGCTGCGATGTCTCCAGCGATTCCCTATCGAAAACTGGAAGGGAAGACAATTCTTTTTAAAAGGTGCTCCCGGAATGAACTTTCGGTCAGAAAACAATCAGAGAATTTAAGACAAGATACCCACATTGTATAAAAGATGTAGACTGCATTGGGATACTTTTGAATTTGTCTAATGCTTTACCTCGATTTACATCTGAGGTTCTAAGTGTAATTTTGCCAAGATGTAAATTTTAAATTTAAATGCTCGTAGAACCTGGGAATTGTCAGTCTCCCTGAATCAACCTTGTTTCTTAAAAAGAGAATAGTTTTCTGGCTTACAGATCATGGTGCTGAATCACGGACACAGATATTAAAGAGAAGTAAAGTCCCTGGCATCTGATGTCCCATTATCCAGAATTCTCATGCAACCAGCAAACAACGGGAGTAGTTTTCCTCACTCTGGAAACTGACTGCTTGATTGCCTCTCTCTCCCCTTTTTGACAAAACCTCATTGATGGTAGTGATGAGCATCCTGGTCACAACTCGCACATTCACATAACCTGCAGCTCTCCTACACTTACCCATTCCCCTTGTGTGTTGGATACCGGGGAGTTTACTGCCGTGACTCCAATGTCTGGGACCATTGTTGGACTGAGAAACAGCATTAACACTTCAAGTCCGTACAACTTAGAGGAGTCTTCCTCATTTCAGTCTTGAATTGGTGCTCCTTTATTCTGAGACTATGCCCTCTGGTCCATGACTCTCTCACGAAAGGAAACCTACTCTTAGCATTTACCCTGTCAAGCTCCTTAAGAATCCTACATGCCATAATGAGATCACTTCTCATTCTTCTAAATTTCAACGAGTATTATGCTTTTACAGTCACAGAGTCACAGAGTAATACAGCATGGAAACAGACTCTTCAGCCCAAACTGGTCCATGCTGACCATGGTGCATATGGTCCGTATCCCTCTAAACCCTTCTCATCCATGTACCTATCCAAATGTTTTATTAAATGTTGCTATTCTACCTGTCTCAACCCTAAAGGGGGATTTAATAATGGGAAATGGCCAAGGCATTGAACAGATATTTTGTGTCGGTCTTCATAGAAGACACAAACAGCATGCTAATAATTAATGGCAAGAAGACTGTGGCAGCTGAGGACGATCATCATCACTAAAGAGGCAGTGTTGGGCAAGCTAATGGGTGAAAAGTAGACAAGTCTCCTGGCCCTGATAGAATGTATCCCAGCGTACTAAGAGTGATGGTGGAGAAATTAGCAAATGGACTCGTGGTAATTTACCAAAATTCACCAGACTCTGATGCAGTTCCAGCAGATTGGAAAACAGCAAATGTAACACTACTGTTCAAAAAAGGATGTAGACAAAAGGTGTGTAACTATAGGCCAGTTAGCTTAACTTCTGTAGCGTGGAAAATGTTTGAATCTATAATCAAGGAAAAAAGTAGTGAGACATCTAGACAGAAATTGTCCCACTGGGCAGATGCAGCATGGGTTCATGAAGGGCAGGTCATGTTTAACTAATTTACTGGAATACTTTGAGGATACTACTAGCACAGTGGACAATGGTGAACCAGTCGATGCGGTGTATCTGGATTTCCAGAAGGCATTCGACAAAGTGTCACACAAGAGGCTACTGCATAAGATAAATGTGCACGGTGTTCCGGGTCATGTATTAGCATTGGTAGAAGATTGGTTAACTAACAGGAAGCAAAGAGTGGGGATAAATGGGTGTTTTTTGGTTGGTGATCAGTGGCTAGCGGTGTGCCTCAGGGATCACTGTTGTGACCACAACTGTTAACAATTTACACAGATGATTTAGAGTTGGGGACCAAGTGTAGTGTATCAAGTTCACAGATGACACTAAGATGAGTGGTCGAGCAAAGTGTGCAGAGGACAGAGAAAACCTGCAGAGGGATATAGATAGGTTAAATGAGTCGGCAAGGGTCTGGCAGATGGAGTACGATGTCGGTAAATGTGATGTCATCCATTTTTTACTCAAATCCTTGGACTTTTCCAGCATGTCTCCAGAATCTTTGCTTGCCCAACATACCAAGTAAATAATGATAGATTTGTAGAATTTTGCAGCACGAAGTGAGAGCCTTTGACCCTCTCTGTCGAGCTGCCTCTTTGAAAGTGCCATCCAACTTTAATCCCACACTCGAGCTTTAGAAGCAGAAAAGACTATTCTTCAATCTGTGCCAAAAGGGGATGTCTCAACCACAGATCACAACATCCAACATGGAAGCAGGTCCTGAGTTATAACGGGGACTGATCCCCACTGTGGTTGGCACCAATATAACTCATACAGTGCATCTTACCCACTGAGCCAACTAACTCCTCCCAGAGGGAGCTCAGGTTGATATGGCAACATAGACCTTTACATGCATCTTGTAGCCTGGAATTATGGAGTGATGGCTGCGGCTCTATTTTACTTCCCGTTACGTGGCTGACCAGGAATTTCTACAGTGTTTATTTATTCATTTGTGGGACGTTGTGTCATTTACCGACCAGCATTTCTTGCCTGTCCCTAGCTGCCCTTGAGAAGGTGGTGGTGAGCTGCCTTCTTGAACCGCTGCAGTCCACCTGCTGTGGGTTGACCCATATGTCATTAGGGAGGGAATTAATGGATTTTGGCCCAGCGACAGTGAAGGAATGGTAATATATTTCCAAGTCAGGATGGTGAGTGGCTTGGAGGGGAACTTGGAAGTGGCAGTGTTCCCATAACGTCAGCTGCCCTTGTCTTTCTGGATGGAAGTGGTCGTGGGTTTAGAAGGTGCTGTCTGAGGATCTTTGGTGAACTACTGCAGTGCATTTTGTACATAGTATACACTGCTGCTACTGAGCTTCACTGGTGGAGGGAGTGGATGCTTCTGGGTGTAGTGCTGATCAAGTGGGCTGCTTCGTCCTGGATAGTATCAAGCTTCTTGAGTGTTGTTGGGGCTACACTCATCCTTCAAGAATATTCCATCACACTCCTGACTTGGGCCTTAAGGATAGTGGACAGGTTCTGGGGAATCAGGAGGTGAGTTACTCTCACCAATAGCCATTAGTGAGTGTTGGGTGGAGTTGCAGATGGACACTCAACCTGTTTGGCCGTGTTATGACCAAACCATCCTTATTCATGGTCTAGTGTGGGACCTGAACGGGGATCTCCTTGCTCAGAGGTAGACATGCCACCGTTACCCACAAAGCCTTCATGATGAGTTAATAGTGTTCAAAATTTTGAAAAGTTTTTATAGAGTACACAGGAAGAGAAAAGTGCCACCAGAAGGCACAGATTTAAGATAATAAGCAAATTTAAACAGGGAAAATTGTGTTTTGCCTCATTCATTGTTACCATATGGAACGCACAGGCCTGAAAGAGGAGTAGAGTCAATCAGACCTTCTGAAAAAGAGAATTGAATATACTTTCTCAGGACAACTGGGAAAGAGCAGGAGACATGGAATGAATGGAATAACTCTTCAAGGAGCCAGCATAGACCAGACAAACTGAATGGCTTCCTTCTGTGCTGGACCATTCAATGATTGTATGGCCTCCTTCACAACAGTGGGATTGGCTGCCAACAACAGCGCAGCATTGGCAGCTCATTCAACCCAACACAGCCACTTTGAGGAAGAGGAGGAATGGAGAAGGGAAGGTTGTTGAGAAAACCGTCCCTAAGGGAAACATTTAAAAACGTACTTTAAAATTTTCTAGGAGGCTTTGGTCCAGCACGTAACACAATAGCAATCTGAAACTGATAGAGGAAGTGAAACTATGATGAGGTGCGAAGCCAGACTATATGTGACTTGTGTACAGAACTGCTGCAGCCCACAGTATAATACTTGAACATTAGAATTATTAGAAGTGAACTAATACTCAAAATGCTCATCAATTTCCTTCCTTAAATCATCACAGTCATGTTTTGTCATCCAAGGTTCCTTCTCTTACAAGCAATGTCCAAATGCCTGCTGTATTTGTTCAAAAATGATCACTTTGGTTCTTTCTCTGACTGAGGTTGTGAAGTTTCCTCTTTGAGCATTACTCCAGGCAGCTATGATTCAGTTTGTAGCACTCTATGGGCTCAAAGTTCTTACCATGAACTGAGTGTAAAAATATAGACTGATAATCCTCAATGTGTAGTGCTGACAAGTGCACTGTCTTTCTGATGAGCTGTTAAACTGAGGACTTACCTCTCTCGCAGGCGGATCAGAGAATTATACAGCACAGAAGAGGCCCTTCAGCCCATCTGGCCTGCACCAACAAAAAAAAAGTTTAGATTTGAGTTATGAGGAGATGCTGGATAGGCTGGGACTTTTTTCACTACAGCATAGGAGGTTGAGGGGCGATCAAATAGCGGGCTATAAAATCATGAATGGCATAGATAGGGTGAATGGCAGGTGTTTTTTTTAACCCCAAGTTGGAGCTTTCAAGACTAGGGGACATATTTTTAAGGTGGAAGGAGAAAAATTTAAAAAAGACATGATGGACAACTTTTCTGCACAGAGAGTGATTTGTGTGTGGAAGGAACTTCCAGAAGAAGGGCGCAGTTACAACACTTAAAAGACATTTGGATAACTTTATGAATAAAAAATTGTGCACAAGCACCCCAAGATCCCTCTGTTCCTCTGAGCTTCCTAGTCTCCTGCCATTCATTGAGTACTCCAAGGTCTTGTTACATATTCCAAAGTCCATCACCTCATACTTTTTCAAGCTTAAATTCCATCTGCCTCGGATGTGCCCTTCTGACCAATCCACCATTATCCTCCTGTCACCTAAGGCCTTCTTCCTCACTGTGAATCACATGGCCAATCTTCATCTCATCCGCAAATGTACTTATCACCCCCAACATTTTCTCCTACATCATTTATATACACCACAAATACCGGGGACCCAGCAACTGGTTTCTGTGGTATGCCACTGGACACTGGCTTCTAGTCACACAAACAGCAATCTACCACCACCCTCTGTCTCCTCCTATGAAGCCACATTTTGATCCAACTTGCCAAATTACCCTGGATCCCACGTGCTTTTGCCTCCTTGATCAGTCTTCTGTGTGGGACGTAGAAAATCCCACAGCAATGCTTTGAAGAGGAGGAAAGGGATTTCACCCTGGTGTCTGTACTTATCCCAAAAGCAATACTCAAAAATTAAGCAGGGCCAATTTCAAATTGTGGGAGCTTGGTGCTCAATTGGGCGACCAGGTTTCCTACAACTGTGACTATACCTTGAACGTATCTCATTGCCTGTAAAGCACTTTGGGAAATCCTGAGGTCAAGAAAAGGCACTATGCAAATGCAACTTCCTTTCTATGAGCACAGAGCACAGTCCACATTGGTTTTGTAGCTGGGTACAGTTCCTCATGATATTTGTCTCTCCATCGATCATTCCAGTCCTTTCAGATTATGCCAACAACACTGGATAGTCCAATTCCCTCTCTGGCAATCCAACTGAGTTAGAATTATGGAAGCAGGCTGTCTGAGCCACCAAGTCCACGCTAACCCTCCAAAAACCATCGCACCTGATCCTATTACCCTGTATATCCCATAGCTACTCCACTATCAGCAATTTAGCATGGCCAATCCACCTAACTTAAGTCTTTGGACTGTGGGAGGAATCCGGAGCACTCAGCGGAAACTTGTGCAGATATGGAGAGAATGTGCAAACTCCTTACAGACAGTTGCCCAAGGGTGGAATTGAACCCAGGTTCCTGAGGCTGTGAGGCACCAGGGCTAACCGCTGAGCCACTGTGCCACCCCAGATCTCTGTTTGTATCAGTATCCAGATAAGTCAACAACTGTTTATTTCAGAGATGGGGATCTATGTTGCCCAGTATATTGGCACTAGTCTACACCTCCGCACTGCTCACCATGCTGGTCGTATGTTTGACTTGGGCCAACAAACTTTCACCCTGCTCAAGGTAATGACAGCTCTCAGCATGTTGGAACCACCCTGTTACAATGACAATTGCCCACTGATATCCAGCTCTCCAAAGAAAGCCTGCTATTGGAAACAGACTATAGGAGAACAGAAGACACCTTTGGTGACCCAGTAGAAAGCGGACAGTGTTGAAGAGTAGGAATAGTGGGACTGCTCTTTGAAACAGCCAGTAACTCAAATGACCATAAGGCCCAGATGCAGAAGTAGGCTGTTGGCCCTACAAATCCACTCTGCCATTCATTCAGACCATGGCTTACTTGATAATCCTCAACTCCTGCCGTATTCCCATCAACCTTGATTCCCTGACTGATTATTGAAATAGCCTCCAACTTTTGAGGTATTTTCAATGTTGGAGCTGATTTCCTCAAATTCTAGGAGCAGTAAATATTTGTTTTATAAGCTGCTGCACTGTTTTGGAACTTTGGGAAAAAGAAGACCAAAACAATGGCACTTTAAAAAGGAGGAAAACAGGCAAAGACAGTGACCACATGGGAAGTGATGCAAATAGAAAGAAACCTACACTGCTTTCTGACCCAGCAGTAACCTGCACAGCTGCTGCCTTTCCTGTTTGGTTTCAAGTATCTCTGGACATCGGAGTTTGTTCTAAGTAAAAAAAAAACCAAACAGCGAAATTCACAGCTGAAACCTGTGTGAAGGAGCTCACAGCAAGAGAGCAGCTAAGTGGCTTTTTAAAATGTAACCATACTGGTTTCTTTTGTAAATCAAAGATGTTGCCAGGGTTGGAGGGTTTGAGTTATAGGGAGAGGCTGAATAGACTGGGGCTATTTTCCCTGGAGCGTTGGAGGCTGAGAGGTGACTTTATAGAGGTTTATACAATCATGAGGGGCCTGGATAGGGTAAATAGACAAGGTCTTTTCCCCGGGGTAGGAGAGTCCAAAATTAGAGGGCATAGGTTTAAGGTCGGAGGGAAAAGATTTAAAAGAGACCTAAGGGGCAACTTTTTCACTCAGCAGGTGGTGTGTGTATGGAATCAACTGCCAGAGGAAGTGGTGGAGGCTGGTACAATTACAACATTTAAAAGCATCTGGACGGGTACATCAACAGGAAGGGTTTAGAGGGATATGGGCCAAATGCTGGCAAATGGGACTAGATTTATTTGATATCTGGTCAGCATGGACGAGTTGGACCAAAGGGTCTGTTTCCGTGCTGCACATCTCTATGACTTTATGACTATGTTGAGCTACTCTATGATTTGAAGAGTTAGTACACCAAAATCCATTTAACAGAATTATTATATGTCAAATAAGCTTTCCTATAATGATGCTGTTTTTACGAATGGGTGTTAATTATAAGGAAAGGACGGTCACTAAATTACTCCTGAGGCACTCACCCCAACACAGCTACACACTTCGACCAGCATATTTCCTTGTGGGGGGAGTTTTTTGTAGAGCTCACTTCCAGATACGAACACAACTAAACAAAGGGAAAAGATGATCAAATTATTGTTCATATTTTCACGGCACTTGCTCTTCATCGCATCATTTCCCTCTCACCATGCTCCCATTTACAAATGGGAATTTGAGGTCATCTAGCAGGCTGACTTCAATGCCAACTTTACAAACCCATGATGGCCACCACCTAGAAGGATGAGGCCAGTCAATGTCTCGTGGGAGCACCACCTGGAATCATAGAATCCCTACGCGTGGGAAGGCACCATTCAGCCCATCAAGTCTGCACTGATCCTCCAGAGAGCATTCCACCCAGACCCAGCACCGCACCCCCTTTCTCTATCTCCATAACCCCACATTTCCCATGGCTAATCCACCTAACCTATACATTCCTGCACACTACAGGGCAACTTAGCATGGCTAATCCACTTAACCTACACATCTTTGGACTGTGGGAGGAAACTGGAGTACCCAGTGGAAACCCACGCAGTCACAGGGGGAATGTGCAAACTCCACACAGACAGTCACCTGAGGCTGTAATCGAACCTGGACCCAAGCAGCGCGTGGCAGCAGTGCTAATCACTGAACCACCGTGCTGCCCCTACCTCGTCTCGCTGCCCCTCCAAGTTGTACAACATCCTAGCTTGGATACATATCAATGTTGCTTCATCATTGTTGGGCCAAAATGGGCCACATCCCATGTCAGAGCAATTACTTGGACAGCTAAATCATTAGAAGGACTGCTCTGGTCCAAAAAGGTGCCCCATCTCCTTCTCAAAGGATCGGCCATAAATGTGATCTTGCCAGCGATGCCCACACCCAAGAATGAATGGAAGTGGTCCTGAGTCCATAGCACAAGGTTATCCTAAATTGCATGAAATGTAAATCATTGAGACCATTGAAATATTGGATTGTCACTTCAGTCCATTTCTGAGGTTGGTGAGAAGCCGTGTTCGTAGTGAAGCACACGGAGTCTTGACTGCACATCCACTTTGTGCTTCAATACCCACTAAAGCTCCTGACATCGTCTAAAGAAAGGTGATTACCAGATTAGCCCAGAAGTAACAAGCATGTGAACAACCAAAGATGACTTGCCGAGGGCAGTGTTATATCTCACCTAGTGCAACCACCATTAGTGCAGCAGGAACACCAAAGGCAAGAGCATAGCAATCTCCACCAAAGCACTGAACATCAGCTGGAAAACACAACAAGGCAATGTCAATGAGGATGGATACACCGCATGACCCTTTACAGCAGCTGAACAAACTTGTTATGTGACCAGCGAGTCATGAATGAGATCTTCATACAGAGAACAGAAGAATTTGCTTCATCTTCACATCATATGAAAGCTCATTGGTCAGCACAATGTTTGGTCTCGGTTGCGTCCCGAGGGTTCACATTGGAATTTTCCATCATTGTTTCCAATTGTTCCTCAGGGAAGTTTTCCCAGGAGATTATGTATGTGCAATGGGACGGGCAGGTCTCTACATATGACCCTCATGGCATTGAGGGTTTGGTAGGCTTCATTGACTGACTAATCATATCCTTCCTATTGCTTTCATATGTTAATGTGAATGGTCTAATTCTGTTGCACTCAATGCAACCTAGGCTGGTATTTCAGTGTAGCCCTGAAGGAATGTTGCACTGCCATTGGTGCAGTCCACTGGACGTGATATTAAACCAGGCTCCCCTCTACCTGTTACCATGCTTGAGTGGATGTTAAAGAGTCATGGACACTACCTGAAGAATGGTGGAGGGTTCTCCGAGTGTGCTGCCTAGCGCTAATCCTCAACTAAACCTACGAAAGAACTTGTGACTAGTTATTCATCTGACTTGAGACTTCAAATGTGGTATAAATAATGCACTGTTGCCGACATAATAGTTCTAAAGGTGTACTTTCGACAAAAATTCATTCAGTAACCTAAAGTCTACAGAATTTATACTGCTAAAGAAAATATGCATTTTAATACAGAATTTGGTATTGCATAAGGCAACTAGGTCCTAGGGAGTGTTGCTGAACAACGAGACCTTGGAGTGCAGATCCATAGTTCCTTGAAAGTGGAGTTGCAGGTAGATAGGATCGTGAAGAAGGCGTTTGGTATGCCTGCCTTTATTGGTCAGTACATTGAGTATGAGAATTGGGAGGTCATGTTGCGGCTATACAGGACATTGATTAGGCCACTTTCGGAATACTGTGTTCAATTCTGGTCTCCCTGCTAAGAGCAAGGATGTTGTGAAACGTGAAAGGGTTCATTAAAAATTTACAAGGATGTTGCCAGGGTTGGAGAGTTTGAGCTATAGGGAGAGGCTGAATAGACTGGGACGGTTTTCCCTGGGGTGTCGGAGGCTGAGGGGTGACCTTATAGAAGCTTATAAAATCATGAGGGGCATGGATAGGGTAAATAGCCAAGGTCTATTCTCCAGGGTAGGGGAGTCCAAAACTAGAGGGCACAGGTTTAAGGTGAGAGGATAAAGATTTTAAAGGGACCTAACGGGCAATTTTTTCACACTGAGGGCAGTGCGTGTATGGAAATGAGCAGCCAGAGGAAGTGCTGGAGGCTGGTACAATTATACCATTTGAAAGGCGTCTGGATGGATAGAAGAATAGAAAGGGTTCAGAGGGATATGGGCCAACTGCTGGCAAATGGGACTAGATTAATTTAGGATATCCGGTCAGCATGGACAAGTTGGACCAAAGTGTCTGTTTCTGTGTTGTACGTCTCTGTGACTCTAAATAGTGCTTCTTTTAAATTCATTCAAGAGTTGAGGTCAGCTGAGTCAGCATTTATTATCCATCCCTAATTACCCTTGAGAAGGTGATGGTGAGCTGCCTTCTTTAGTTGCTTAAGTCCATTTGGTGTGGGTGGACACACAATACCATAAGGGAGGGACTTTGACTAAGCATCACTGAAGGAACAGCGATGTATTTCTAAGTCAGGATGGTGAGTGACTTGGAGGGGAACTTGCAGGTGATGGTGTTCCCATGTTTCTGCTGCCCTTGTCCTTCGAGATGGAAGTGGTCATGGACTTAGAAAGTGCTGTCTGAGGAGCCTGGGTGAATTTCTGCAATGTGTTTTGTAGATGGTATACATTGCTGCTATTGATGGTGGATGGAGTAGATGTCTGTGGTGTGGTGCTTATCAAGTGAGCTGTTTTGTTCTGGATGGTGTTATACCTCTTCAGTGTTGTTGGAGCTGCACCCATCCAGGCAATTGAGGACCATTCCATCGCACTTTGGATTTGTAGAGGCATAGAGTCACACAGCACAGAAGTAGGCCCTTTGGCCCAACTCATCCATGCTGACCAGATTTCCTAAACTGAACTAGTACCATTTGTTGGCATTTGGCCCATATCCCTCTAAACCTTTCCTATTCATTTACCTGTCAAAATGTGTTTTAAATGTTGTAATTGTACACCTGTCCCTTGTACAGGTGGACAGGGGTCAGGAGGTGAGTTACTCGCAGAAGTGTTCCTAGACTTTGACCTGCTCTTGCAGACACAGTATTTATGTGGCTAATCCAATTCAGTTTCTGGTCAGTGGAACCCCAGGATGCTGATGGTGGGGGATTCAATAATAACAATACCATTGAATGTTAAGGGGTAATGGTTTGATTCTGTCTTGTTGGAGATGGTCGTTGCCTGGCATTTGTGTGGTGTTAATGGTACTAGCCACTTACCAGCCCAAACTGGTACCTGAAAGGGTTAACTGACATCACAAGATAAGATCCACCCATCAGGACATAAGGGTTTCTCCTGGCAAGAACTAACCAACGTGTGTGCGTGTGTGTGTGTGTGAGAGTGTGTGTGTTTGTGTGCACGTGTGTGTGTGTGTGTGTGTGTGTGTGTGTGTGTGTGTGTGTGTGTGTGTGGGGTGTGGCATAAACTCAAAACAAGTTGAGCTTGATTGTCTCTTGTGAGACTAATTGTATATCTTACACGTAATGTAACTAGCTACTAAGTAATATGCTAAAAGCTTATTTAGTTTTCATCACGATTTTGATCAAGTGTTTGTGTGGGCGATCTTTGCCATGTGGTATTAGTAGCTTAGACAGATACTATTGGTCACAGTGAACAGACCGAAGAAATCTCTAATGGTTCAGAAAACAAAATCCTGGGAAGGCTGGGAATCTGCAATGAATGCTGGAAACCCTTCTACAAGTATGGAGAGACAAAGTTAAGGGGCAAGATTTTCCTGACATTGGTTGGAATTGCATTTCCATGATTAAACTCCTGGAGGCTGCTGCATCCTTTACCCATGGGCCCCACTCTTGTGTTAAAAAAAAAACACAATCTCTCTTCCCCACCTCACTCACCACCTCTTACATTTCCTACCTCTGTCCTTGTTTCATACCAACTGAGTATTTTGCTAGACCATTTCAGGGAGCAGTTAAGAGGCGACCACATTGCAGTGTAGCTGGAGTCACCATGTAGGTCAGACCAGGTAAAAGATGGTAGATTTCCATCCTTGAAGGATGTTAGTGAATCAGAAGGGATTTTACAACACTCTACGATGGGTCACCATTAGTGGGACAAGCTTTACGTGCCAGATTTTTAAATTTTATTCATTGAATTCAAATTCCATCAGCTGCTGTGGCAGGATTATGAGCCAGTGTCTCCAGCAGATTCATCTCAGCTTCTGGATTACAGTCCCAGTGACATTACCACTATGCCACCATTCCACTCCCAAATAAGTAACAAAGGGAGTCCAGCCTCTCTCACAGTGAAACACAGGCCAGACGACAGAAATCCCGACTTGGCTAATTTCCTGGACACTGCTGTGAATCCCCACAACAATGCCCCAGTGTCAGTCGAAAGCAGAAACTGCTGGGAAAGCTCAGCAGGTCTGGCAGCATCTTTGGACAGAAAGAAGAATTAATGCTTCAGGTTCAGTGACCCTCCGTCAGAAGTGACCCTTCTTCTGAAGGTTCTGAGAAGGGTCACTGGACCTGAAATGTTAACTCTTCTTTCCTTCCACAGATGCTGCCAGACTTGCTGAGTTGTCCCAGCAGAAACTGATTCCCAGCATCCGGAGGTCTTTGTTTTCTTTCAATCAACGTGACTACAAAATAGGGAGTGAAATGTGATTTAAAATAGGCTGTGGTTAAGGAGTGAGTCTTCTGTTGTGTAGATTTCCGCTACTCTCAAAAAAGGCAACACATTACACTGCATAACCAGCGGACACTGAAGAAAAAATGTATCAGAGATCAGATTCCATATAAAATATTGCACATAACTTATATCGTTACAGAGAGAATTGCAAATCTGCACTGACCTCTCAACATGGGAGTGATGATGGTTGACAGTAAACTTCCTGCATTAATGGACAGATAGAAGAAGGAGAAAAACCTACTCCGTTCAGAAGCCTAGAATATAGTAGCAGAAATTGGGAAATCATCAGTTAGTGCAATACAATCTATACTCAATCAGTCTATTCTATTCTACCGCTCTAATGAACCAGTGCAAGGTATGATTTGTCTGGTCAGCATGCAAGCCAATAATTTTCACTGTATCGCGGTACATGTGACAATAATAAATTGAATCAAACTTCACTCTTTCATGGAATGTGGGTGTTGCTGGCTAGGTCAGTGTTTTTTGCTCATCCCTAATAGCCCAGAGGGCAGTTAAGAATCAATCACATTTCTGGTGTCACATGTCGGACAGACCTGGTAAGGATGGCAGATTTCTTCCCCGAAGGGTATTGGTGAACCAGATGGGATTTTATAACAATCAACTCATGGTTGGACTTTTAATTCCAGATTTTTAAAAATTAATTGACATTTCACCATCTGCCACCATCTGAACGTTTCTGAAGAAAGGTTCCAGACCCGAAACGTCAGCTTTCCCGCTCCTCTGATGCTGCTTAGCCTGCTGTGTTCATCCAGCTCTACACCTTGTTATCTCAGATTCTCCAGCATTGGCAGTTCCTACTATCTCACAGTTATTTCCATATGGGTTGCATGCATAATGTTTCCACACAACTGAAGCTCCTCAATTCCTGGTTTCATCCAGGCAAACCTTCTCTACACTTTTTCAAAGTCCTCGAGGTCTTTCTTCATGCATAGTGTTCATTTTGAGGCACAACATTCACGCTGAGGTCTAAGGATGATCTATAAACGCTTAGCTTAACTCTTTAGCTTTGACCTTCATGGCTCTTTGATCAACAAGGAAATCAAGGGTAATGAGAAGCAGAAGGCAAAGTGGGGTAGAGAGCACCATCCAATCATTTAAGGAAGGAGGCTCAAGGGGCTGAATGGTCTACTCACGCTTTTGATTTTTCTGTTCTCTATCCACTTACAAAACCCAGGATTGTGTACGCCCAATCTCTAGTGACAGGATAAATAGAAACAATACTGTTTCTAACATCTGACAGTCTTCTTGTGCACTTACATGCTTCTCTTCAAACTGATCACCACCAAAAGCTGCAACACAAGGTTTGATACCACCAGTGCCCAGGGCTATTAAGAAGAGGCCAAGCATTGATAATATTCTGCAAACAAGAGAACGTTTGTTAAGTTTTGAGGAGGCTAGGATAACACCATTGACTGAGAAGAATAAAAATAAGTCACAGTGATGGGTGCATTGATGGTTCTTTTGTCGTTTTGACAGTCATTAGGTTGTGAGTTCAAGTCTCAGCACACAGGCTTGATGCAAAATCCAAACAAACACTATGGTTTATTACTGAGAAAGTGCTATACTAGTGAAGGTGCCACCCTTTAGATGAGCAGTTAAACTTCAACCAAGGCTGTTTTCACCTGGGTCCCAGTCAATAATTATCTCTCAACGAACATCATTAAAACTGAACTCAATCGTTATCCCTTTGCTGTTTTGGTTACTGTTTGCATATTGGTTGCTATAGTCCCAACTTTATAACAGTATTACAAAAGGATGCCATTGGCCATAAAGTGCTTTGGAACATCTGAGTGAACTGGTGTCATGGTCATTATAATCAGTTAATGTTTCCAAATGAAAGCCTGCTCTAATTAACTGCATCTTTTCTTTAACCTGTAGTCGCACTGTGAGGGGATCATCAGCTTATAGAAATAGATAAATTACAACACGAAAAGAGGCCATTCAACCCATTATGTCTGTGCTGGCTGAATCAACAAGTCACCCATCCCAATCTCACATTTTGAGACTGACTGGTTGGGAATCACTGCTGGGTTTTATTTGGTGCCCTTTCAATCTGTTTGTTTCCGCTGTTGTTTTATCATTGGCCAGGGAGGGTAAAGAGCAATTCCTCATTAGATCCCTCCAGTTTCTTGTTAGCCGGTTGGTCATTTAATGGATATTGGATCATCTACCTCTTAGATCGGTCTACCAATATTGCTTTTTTTTTTGTACAGCGTCGTTCAAAGTCAAAAAGCAGAGTTGTCAAATCTCCCAGGGTGTCAGACTTGCAGAGCAACTTTCTATTTAAGGCTGTACAACAGGATGATAGGTAGTTGGTATGGACTATGAGTTGGCACTAGGCTGCCGTAGGGGCTATGAAGGGACTTGAGGATTGGTAGACGGCAGGGGTTGTCATGAGGATTACGAGGGGCCATCTGATGGCATTAGGTGGCATGGATGGGCAATGAGAACATGTGAATGGCTTAGGGGGATTTAAGGGGTGAGGGCTGTTTTATTGTGAAAACAAACAATGCTGGAGATGACAGTGGGTCAGACAACATCCACGGAGAGAAAGCAAGCTAACATTTCGAGTCGAGGTGACTCTTCATCACAGCTGACATAAAGTGTGAAGGGGACAGCATTTATGCTATAGTTGGAGGGGGTGATATGGGGGTAGTGGGGTGTAGAGAGGTGGGGGAGAACATAACAGGGTGTAGAGAGGTGGGGGAGAAAATAATGGGGTGTAGAGAGGTGGGGGAGAAAATAATGGGATGTAGAGCGGTGGGGGAGAAAAGATGTTGATAGTGCAGATTGAGTGATGGGAATGTGAGAATGGCAGAACAATGGTATGTCTAACTGCCAGACAGGAAAGAACAGGCAGTCCCACTGGGGTGGGGGGAGGGGAGAGAGAGGGCTTGGTGGCAGAGAATGCAACAAATAAAGCTATAAAGGGAAGAAACAAGAGTTGGGGGCACGGGGAGGGGGGGTGCCTGTGATATGAAGACATGAAGAGTGAGGGGAAGATGTGTTTGGTAGTGGTTTCCTGCCAGTGTTGCCTGAAATGACGGAGAATGATCCTTTGAATGTGGAGGTTGGTGGGAAGAAAAGTGAGAACATTTGGTTCAGATCACGCTGTTGTGAGTGATGGGCGGAAGCACAGGTGATAGGTTAGATGTGGTTGAGGACCCTGTTAACCACAGTGGGTGGGAAACCATGATTATGGAAAATGCAAACCATATCAGCAGCGCTATTTTGGAAGGTGGTATCATCTAAACAGATGTGACGTAGGTGAAGGAACTGGGAGAATGGGATGGAGTCCTTGGAGGGCATTGTGTGTGATGAGCTGCAGTTAACGTAGCGTGGGAGTCAGCAATGGGAGTAGGTGTAATGAAGGTAGCTATGGGAGAGGGTGTAGTGAAGGTAGCTATGCGAGAGGGTGTAGTGAAGGTAGCTATGGGAGAGGGTCGAATGAAGGTAGCTATGGGAGAGGGTGTGGTGAAGGTAGCTATGGGAACAGGGTGTAGTGAGGGTAGCTATGGGAGAGGGTGTAGTGAAGGTAGCTATGGGAAAGGGTGTAATGAAGGTAGCTATGGGAGAGGGTGTAGTGAAGGTAGCTGTGGGAGAGGGTGGAGTGAAGGTAGCT